CACCAAACACATGATCCATAAAAGAAAATCTTGATAAATTGGACGGCGTCAAAATTTAAAACTTTTGTGTTTCAAAAGACAGCATTAAGAATATGAAAAGACAAGCCCCAAACTGGAAGAAAATATTTTCAAATCATGTATCAGATAAAGCACTTGTATCCAAAATATATAAACAACTCTCACAACAGAATAAGAAGACAAACAACCCACTTAAAAAATGGGAAAAGATTTGAGTAGGCATTTCACAAAAGAAGATGTATGAATGAATGACTAATAAGCACATGAAAAAAATGCTCAGTAAGTCTCTAGGGAAACGCAACTACAATGAATACCTTTACACACCCACTAGAGATGGATAGATAGCTGCTGTCAAGTCAACTCATGGCATCCTTAGATACCACAGAACAAAATGTTGCCAGTCCTGTGTCATCTTCGTGTGGCTATCATGCCAATCTATGTCACCGAGGGTCTCCCTCGCTCTCACTGGCCCTCTGCTTCACCAAACTTCATGTCCTTCTCCAGCAGTTGATTCCTCCTGAGGTGTTGAAAGCAAGTGACACATCCTCTAGAATGGCTATAATCAATGGTGAGGATAATAGAGAAACTCAATCTCCCGATAGGTTATTTTTTTAAATTTTCTTACTGTGCTTTAGGTGAAAGTTTACAGCTCAAGTTAATTTCTCATACAAAAATTTACACATATTGTTTTGTGACATTAGTTGCAATCCCCACAATGTGACAGCACTCTCCCCCTTTCCACCCTGGTTCCCTGTGTCCATTTGACCAGTTCTTGTCCTGTGCTGCCTTCTCATCCTACCTCCAGACAGGAGCCGCCCATTTGTCAGCCCCCATAGATTACTGTAAAATGATACAGCCACTTTGGAAAACAGTTTGGGAATTACTTAAAAAGCTATACATAAACTAACCATGTAACCCGGCTAACAATTCCACTCCTAGGATTCTACCCAACCAAGAGACAGGAAAATGTATGTCCATGCAAAGACTTACATGTGAATGTTCATAGCAGCATTATTCAATATAGCCCCAAACTGGAAACAATCCAAATGTTCATAAACTGGTGAATGGATAAACAACATTTGGTACAGCCATACAAAGAAGCACTGTCAGTGATAAAAAAGGACAAACTACTACTACATGGATGAACCTCATAAACATGCTAAGCGAAAGAAGCCAGGTGCAAAAGACTACATATTGTGTGATGCATTTATATGAAATGTCCAGAAAAGGCAAATTCACAGAGACAAGAGATATCTGTGGCTGCCTAGGGGTGGGGGAGGGAACAGCAATTAATTGCAAATGGACACAAGAGAACTTTTTTGTGGCGATGGAAGTGTTCTAAAACTAGATTGTGGTGATTGTTGCACAACTATAAATTTACTAAAAATCACTGAGTTGTATACTTCAATGGGTGAATTGTATGATATGTCAATTCTACCTCAACAAAACTGTTTAAGAAATTGATGATGTCCCTGCCCCCACAGGGCACAGTCTAGTGTTAAAGATAGCCATTAAACAATAATTGCCTAAATAATTGCATAGTTATTAACTGTGGTAACTGCTATATAAGGCAATTAGAGGGTATAATGATATTATAATAGGAAAGGCCTGTCTGAGGAAGTGGCATTCTAGCTGAGATCCAAGGGATGAGTAGTTAACCAAAGTAAAGGGAAGAACATTCTAGCAGAAGAAACAGCATGTGCTGAAGTCATGAGCAGGAAAGAACTTGCACATTCTAGAAACTGAAAGAAGATCAGGAAGAAGAGAAACATGCCATGAGGTTTTAGAGGTGTAGAGGTCAGATGGTACAGGGTCTTGTGGCCCATAGTATGGAGTTCTGTCTTGACTGTAAATGCAATTAGGAGTCAATAAAGCATTTTAAGCAGGGGGATGTCATAATCAGATTTTCTTTTAAAAACTACTACAAAGAATACATGAAAAGATGCTCCTGACCATTAGCCATTAGAGAGATGCAAATCAAAACTAAAATGAGATACCATGTCACCCCTGCAAAAATGATCAAACAAACAAAACAACAGCTGCTGGCGAGGTTGTAGGGAGATTAGAATTCTCATACATTGCTGGTGGGATTGTAAAATGTTACAACCACTTTGGAAAACAGTATGGCGCTTCCTCAAAAAGCTAGAAGTAGAAATACTTTCTGATCCAGCAGTCCCACTCCTAGTTATATATCCTAGAAGTATAAGAGAGAACAGTGACACAAATAGACATATGCACACCTATGTTCATTGCAGGATTATTCACAATAGCAAAAAAGATGAAAACAGCCTAAGTGCCAATCAATGGATGAATGGATAAACAAATTGTGGTACATACATACAATGTAATATTACGCAACTCTAAAGACTAATGAGGAGTCCTCGAAACATAACATGGATGAATCTGGAGGACATTATGCTGAGTGAAATAAGTCAATCACAGAAAGACAAATATTGTATGGTTCCGCTATTATAAAAGGTCAAGAATAGATATACCTACAGAAAGCAAAGTTCTTTGATGGTTACCAGTGATAGGTGAGAGAGGGAGAGGGAATCACTTTCTAGATAGTAGACACTTGTTACTTTTGGTATTGAAAAAGGCAATCCCAAATATGGGTGAAGTCAGCACAACAAGATCAAGGTAAATAAGAGACACTTTCAGTAAATACTATAACATATACAATTTTGCAACAACAGTAAAAACAACCAAAAATATGGTTACATAGCTAGATATGGACATATGTGTGTATAGGAAGGCATATGTGAGTAAATGCATGTGTGTGTATCTGTAGGCATATGTATACACACATTTGTGCTACATATATATCCACATATATAACAAATCCCATAGTGGGCACAGTTAGAGAGGCTTCCTAGACATATTCCAGACAACTCGTGGGATTGGTTTACTGGGTCAAAGGCTTGGGACGATAGTCTCAGGGGACAACTTAGTCAATTGGCATAACATAGTTCCCAAAGATAATGTTCCACATCCTAGTTTGGTGAATAGCGTCAGGGGTCTTAAAAGCTTTCGAACGACCGTCTAAGATACACCTATTGGTCTCTACTTGTATAAACCAAAAAAGGATGAAGGAACTCAAAGGTTGAAAGAAGAAACTAGTCCATGGGACTAACAGCCCACATGAACCACAACCTCTTCAAACCTGAGACCAAAAGAACTAGATGGTTCCCTGTTACAACTACCAACTGTTCTGGCCAGGGACACTATAGAAGGTCCTGGATAGAATGGGAGAAAAATGTAGAACAAAACCCAAATTCCTAAAAAAGGCCAGACTTACTGGACCAATAGAGACTAGAGGAACCTGCAAGACTATTGTCCTAAGATACCCTTTGAACTTGGAATTGAAGCTATTTCTGCAGGTCACCTTTCAGCCAAATAATAGATTGGTTTCTAAAATAAACAATACCACCTGTGAGTAATGAGCTCCCTTAAACAATTAACTATATGAAACCAAATGGTCAACAGTTACCCAAAAGCAAAAGTGAGAAGGCAAGGAGGGAAGGGAAGCTAGATCAATGGAAACAGAACAAACAGAATGGAAAGAGTGAGAATGCTAACACCTTGTAAAAATTGTAACCAATGGCATGGAACAATTTGTATAAAATTGTTAAAGGGAAAGCTAATTTGCTGTGTAAACTTTCACCTAAAACACAAGAAAATATTATTTAAAAAAAACTACAAAGGACCTGGACACAAGGAACAGTGAACATGACAAATATGGTCCCGAACTTCACGGAACTTACAGAGTACAGGAGACAGATGATAGCAATATTTGACCAAAATAAAACAAAAATTATTACAGTGATCAGTGCTATGAAAGGTGCTATAACAGAGACTTTTACCCAACACCTACCCAGGCTTCTCCCAGCTTTTTCTGTCATCTTTCCTCCCATTGTCAGTCTTTGTCTCATTGAGACTGAGTCCGAAAATTGGTTGGTCATACGAAACCTATCCTTTCACCCTCCTTCCTCCTGGGACCAGTGAGAATTTAGATATGAAGACATGAGACCAGTAGCTTCACTCTCTCAACTTTATCAAAGGTAGCACACTGATGTAGCGCAACTTCAAAAGACCTACTAAGACTTATAAAAAACATTCTTTTGTGTATAAATATATATATATATATTTTGTATTGCAAGTCTAGTGTACTTACATAGTATTCAGAGCTAAAAAACACTAAAGTTTTCCAATGTGTTACATAATTTATTTAAAAACCTGAAAAATAAGATAGTAGAGCAGAAATGCTAATACATATTATACATAAAGAAATAGATTTTATATGTATATTCACTAGTGTATAAGAAAACAAGAAGTAGGTATTTTTCACTATCACTATTATACCTGCACCACATAGAAAAGTGCCTGCTATATAGTGAGCTCTGAATATTTATTGAATGAGGAATCTCCTAGTTTTTACATATTCATTCATATTTTTCTTTTTTATAATATTGCTCATTATAAAAATAATATTTATTGTAGAAAACATGGAAATTCAATAAAGGAAAAAGGTTAAAACAAACTCAGTGAGAATCTTACAGATGATCACTATTTACATTTTGATGTGCTTCTTGCCAGTCTTATCTAGGCTTATTATTTCTCTGTATGTGTGTACTTGTGCATTTTTAATCAAACTTATGAGGGGCCCTGGTGACACAGTGGTTAAGCATTTGGCTGCTAACCAAAAAAGGTCGGCAGTTCGAACCCACCGACTGCTTCTTGGAAACCCTATGGGGCTGTTCTTCTCTGTCTGTAGGGTTGCTGTGAGTCAGAATTGATTCAAGGACAATGGGTTTGGTTTGTTTTTTTTAAATTATGCTATGTGTATAGTTCTGTTTCCTTTTTTTTTTTTAACTTTATGTTACGGGCATTTCTCATGCCATTAAAAATTCTTTGAAATCCTTTTTAACAACTGTATAATATTTAATTATTTATATTTAATAAGAATACGTTTGTATTTTCAGTGATAGTTGAGCCAATTCCAGTTGGACAAGCTACTAAGGATTATCTGAATTTATATGTAACACCAACTCTGCTTAAGGGACTCACAGAGCTTTGTAAGCAAAAACCAGAAGATCCTTATGTAAGAATTAAACAAGTTCATATCCATTTTAGATCATCCTTATGTATAACTCTTGATTATTTATTTTCTTGCTATTTTTAACTCTTAAAAAAAATTGTCTGTAAATGTGTTTTCAGTGATTGCATCCTTCAATTGCTGAGCATTGTTCTTGTGTATAATTTATATAATAATTCAAATGATAAAAGTAGAGATGTACTTGAATATCTATCAAAATGTTGTTCAACATTTTGGTTTTTCATGATATCTAATTTTTTTTTTTTTTTAAAGAACAACTTATTCACATCCCTAGATGTGTCAACTTTGCTCCAAGGTGGAACTCACAGTATTCTGTCGTACAGATGTTCTACAGTTCATTAATTGGTCACATATGGGTGGTCATTTAGGTTGTTTCCACTGTTTTGCTATTACAAGCAATGCTGCAATAAATATCATCTTTCATGTGTCAGCATATCATTTATTCGTTGAATAAATTCCTAGAAAGGAAAATGCTGAGTCCAAAAGAATGTGCATTTTTTATTTGGATAAATATTGCCAAATTTCTTTTTGCAATGATTGTACCATGTTATGTGCTGATCGACAATGAATGAGAGCATCTGATATGTTTTCAGGCTTTATGTTTTTTGCCAGTCTGAGAGGTGAAAAATGATATCTCTTTTATAGGTTAATTTGTATTTCTTTTATTATGAGTGAGTTTGAGCATGTTTTCTTACATGCTACTTAAAGTCATTAGCATTTCCTTTTCTGTGAACTTCCTGCTCATGCCCTTTGCCAATTTTTTTTGGGTTCTAGGTCTTTTCCTTATTATATGGGAACTCTGTGTGTTTGGGAAGTTAACTCTTTGTGGTATATGTATTTTCCAGTAGTTTTCTCAGTTTATCACTTGTCTTTTGACTATATTCGTGATGTGTTTTGCCATGTAAATTAAAAAAATTTTAACGTAGCTTAATTTATTGAGCTCCTTTATGGCTTCTGGGTTTCTGGCCATATTTAAAGAAGGTTTTCTGCTCTAAGATTATAAAAAATATTCTCCCATGGTGCCTTCTACTGGGACTTTATATGGTTTCATTTCTTTATATCTTTGATTGTCTGGAATTTATTTTGCTATAAGGAGTGAGATAGGGAGCTAGTTTGATTTTCTTTTTCACTTGATTACCCAACTGACCAACACCACTTATTGAACAATCCATATTTTCTTCACAGATTTAAGATTCCACTGTTAACATATACTAAAGTCATGCATGCGTTTAGATTTATTTCTGTATTTTCTGTCCTGATTCACTTATCTATGTGTCTGTTCATTTGTAAGTACCACACTGCTTTAATTATTGTAGCTTTATAAATATATTTTAAAATCAGGTAGTGGCAAACCCTCCAATTACTTTTCTTTTTCAGAATTTTCTTGCCTTTTTTGCTTTATTGTTTTTAATATGAATATTTTCAGGTTATCATACCTACTATCATTTTGCTTTTTTAAAAAAATTATTTTCCGTGGCAATATACAGCCAAACATACATCCATTCACAATTTCTACATGAACAGGTCAGTAACATTGGTTACATACTTCACACTGTGTCACCATTCTATCTCTGCCCGTATTGTTTCATCATCATTAATTTAGGCTCCTAGCCCCTTAAAGTTCTCATCTGTGCTTTAGATTAACTATTGTCAGTTTACACTCATATAGATAATTTTTTATAAGATCACTATGCTCGAGACAAGCATTCCTTATTAACTGGGCTAAATTGTTGTTTAGTTTAACGATGGTTCCATGGGATCATTTCAGTTCAAGGTTTAAGGCTTATTTCCAGGCATTAGATTTGGGGGTTCCCCCAGTGTATGTGTATCATACACTGTACAATGTATGATAATTCCTGTTTTATCCCATCTATACTAATATTAGGTGTAGGTTAAAAAATATCTGGGGGGGCGGAATTTGATAATATGCAAAATCAAGATAGTATTTGATTGTTTTGACTTCCGTGTATATATTTACCGTACTACTGAGGTTAAACATTTCCCCTTATGTTGTATTTCCTTCTTTGTGAATTATGTGCTTACGTTTTGTCCACTTTTCTCTTGGGGTCTTATAAGAATTCTTTATACATTAGTTATATCAACATTTGATATTATTTGCTGCAGAAATTTTGTGTTGTTTAATTATCAATTTTGCCTTTTTAAAAATATTCAGTAAGTCAAACCTTCTCCCCCCCATTATGAGTTTTCCTTTCTTATCTAAGTTTAGAAAGTCCTATTCCATCTAAAGTTCTGCTAAATTTTCATTTCTAGATTTTTTATATTTAACTTTTTCATGTATATGGAATTTATTTTTGTATATAACACAAGATGATCTGAATTTATTTTTTTTCTTCACCAATTGTCTCTTGTATATTGATTTATGAAGCCTCCTTTATCACATATTAAAATCTATATCTGGATATGTATTCTGTTACATAGATCTGTATATTCTAATGAAGTACTACAGTAAATAATTGCTTTTGACATTATTTTCAAGACTGCCATATATACTTGATAAACTTGCATAATGTAAAACTTAGTATTTCAATTTTTAATGGTCATTTTCCCATTATCCTTAAAATGATTTTGATTGATATATATTAAAATGAAATATTTAAATATTTATTAATTTAAGGTTTTTGTTTTTTCTTTTTTCCATAGATTTGGCTAGCTGATTGGCTGCTGGAAAATAATCCCAACAAACCTAAACTTTGTCACCGCCCAGTTATAGAAGAACCTTATTAAAATAAAGTCCTCTGAAGAACAGTTTACAAATTATCTTATTATAAAAGGATGTGCTTCTAGTTTTTTTTAAAAAACTTAATTCCTAAGATATAAGTAACTATATGTGAAGTAAATTACTTTTTGAAAATAAAAGTTTTTAAAGAATCACTGTATTTTAAGCAGAAAATAATATTATCTAAAGAAAATATAGATTTAAGGTATGAAATTAAGTAATAAATGACTGATGTACGATACTTCTAGATTTTTTTTCTTAAATTTGAGAAGTAAGATAGGGAATTTTAGTTAGGGTGTTTTCCCAAGCATATATCCTGTATCTAGACGCATAATTAATTCAGACAGTTTAGTTAAAAAGGTGTGAGTAAATTGTTTGGTATAAAAAACTGATCAGAACCTGGGGATGATTTTATTTATTTGCTTAACTATTTCCTACATATTAATAAGTGTCCTCCAAGGGTGACCAACTGGTAGAGTGACAATGCCTCCCCATTTGCCTGGGACTTTCCTGGTTGTGTCACTTAAAGTCCTAAATCCCTGGAGCCTCTTCAGTTGCAGGCAAACTGAAGTGATTGGTTACCCTACAAAGAAGTCTAGGTTAGTGTTCCCCAATTATGTTTTTGTGACAAGATGCTAATTTTGAAAAAAATGTAAAATTCTGAGTTCTCAAAGAAATTTTAATTTAAAAAAAAGATTCAGGTTGTAAAGCATTTTTATTAAGAGCAAGTATTTAAACTGGCCTCGTCTCTTCAAAAAGTCAATTTCATTATTAAATAAAAAGTGGAGGTGAGAAAGAACTGTTCTAGCTTAAAAGAGATTGAAGAGTCAACCAAATGCAATGAATGAATCTTAATTGGATCCTGGCTTTAAAAAAAAAAAAGCTATAAAAGATCTTTGGAAGACAATTGAAGAAATTTGGATATGAACTAAATGTTAGATGATCTTAGGAAATAATTGCTAATTTTCTTAGAGTGAAAATTATATGGTTATAAAAGGAGAATTTCTTTTTAGGTGATGTATTTCTTAGGGATAAAATTTATGGTATTTGCAACTTATTTTCACATGATTAAGCAAAAAAATATTTTATACATGTATAGATAAAGAAAGTTAGCAAAATATTAACAGTTGTTCAGTAGAAGTGGTGGGTACCTAAGTATTCACTATACTGTTCTTTCAACTTTTGTGTATTTTGAAAATTTTCATAAAAAAAGGTGGGCAAAAAGAGTAAAGATCTGGCTGCCATCACTGTAATGTAGTGATCAATTTCTCCCATCACTGATGGAGAGACATTTAGGTATTATATATCTCTTGATTTGATACAGAATGAAATATACTACTCATCTATGATATGTTCTAGCCAAAAGCGTATACCTTATAATTATCAAGGCTTTAGGTCAAGCCATCTAGCTTACTGTAATATAGAAGATAGAATGACTATCTGAGGGACACCATAAAGAAGCAACTGGAAAAATTCAGAAGATGAGATGTTCTGCAGGGCAGTTGCCCTGGTCTTTTCACCAAATTGGTATCATGAGAAAAGGAAATGTTTTAGATTAAAAGAGACTTAAGATATAAACTACTTTCTTAAGACTGCCTTCTAAGGTAACTAGGAAGAGAAGTCTGCCTTCTGACATAACCTGTGTGGTAGTACCAAAATAACCTGTTGCTGTTGAGTCAGTTCCACCTCATGGGGACCCCATGTGTTACACCCACAAGAACTGCCCCATAGGGCTTTCTTGGCTATAATCTTTATGGAAGCAGATTGCCAGGACTTTCTTCCACAGTGCCACTGGGTACTACACATATTTGTCATCGTTAAGTGCTGGTAATTCAATGCTTCTTTCTCACATAGAATAATAGTGTGGTATCCTTGTTAATCAAGATATGTAATTTATTTAGTCCCTTTTTTCCAGGACTCAGATGAAAGAGAACTGAAGAAGAAAACAAGCACACATGCAGCTCACTTATGACTTGGAACTAAACAGTAGTTTGGATTCTTGAATCCATCTTTTAGGGATCTTGGGAGATATCTAGAACTCCTTCTCTCCCCAGGCCTCTTACCAGTCTTCCTGTATTTAGCCAAGAAATGGTAAATATGGCACATGTCTAAACTGGGTGCTCCTACCTCAGCTTCTGTTTAGGGGGTTTGAAGAGTAGCTCAAGCTTGAAGTAAAGAGCCCAGGGCAATACCTTGGGCCAGCTCGATTTGAAATTGTCACAGCTGTGTTTGAGAAGTCCTCTCCCAGCTCAGAAATACTGCCACTTCTCTTGTGTAGTTAACTCTTTATAAGAACATTTAGATTAAGCTTTGATTTTTTATTCAGAGATGGCCCAATTTTTCTCTTCTTCATTTGTTATCTCTGTGACTGCAGTTGCTTTTTTTGAGTTCTTTATTTTTGTTAGTCTCCTCACTAGTAACATTCCCTACACTAACTTTGAGCCTTTCACTGAAGAGCCATACAGTAAGTGCTTTCCGAAAGTTAATTAAACCTCAGAAACTCCCAGGCTTATGAGAGCCTTTCAAAGAGAAGTTTGCTTTTAAAGTCCAGTAGTGATTTCTGGTGATTTCAGATAGAGGATGCAAATTGAGATAGGTTTCTCCCACCTCACCAAAGGACATGAGTAAAGAAAAAGATCTTTTTGAAGCAGTGAGGCATTAGTTTTCCTCTTAAATTAATTAGATCCTGTGACCAGTACCTTCAGTCCATTGGAAAGGGGAGATGACTAAAAAGATGTTGTCTTTTCCTTTCCTGCTTCCAAGGTGACTCAGAAAGTTCTCTCCCCATCCAGATCAAGGGTCGACGACACTGCTGTGATTGATGCCTTTTGTTCCCAGCCAAATTGTTTTTTATAGCCCACCTCCTGCCAGCACTTCCCAAAGTGCCACTGCCATCAGCTCCAGAGGGAGTCCCTTCCTCAGGCTTCCTGGCCAGCAGCTGCACTGTGATGGCCAGGAGCACGAATGCAAGGAGAAAGCAGCTTGCAGACAAATGGGCAGCTATCAGACCAACAGCCCCATCACTAGAACCATAAAAAATTCCATTTCTACCCCCTACCCCCTCCTCACTTGCCTCATCTGCATTCCTTGGCTGAGGTAGGGGGAAAAAGTTATAACTTTGGAAAAGTTATAACTTCATATGGTCTGTCAAAGCAGCTTCAATTTTTTTTCCTTTTTTTTCTTTCTTAAACCAGTTATGCTTATTCAGCCCAAGAGTTGTCAGATCGCTACAGAACCTACAGATATTAAAAGGATAGTAAGAGAATATTATGAGCAACTTTATAATTTCAAAAACTTAGATGAAATGAACAAAGTCCTTAAAAAATACAAACTACCAAAATCATGTCAACCTAAATCACAATTTCTGGATCTTCCTTTAAACTTTCTATCATCAGAGTTTCGCTCTCTCTCCCTCTCTCTCAATGTTCAGTTTTTAAATTTTGGAGTAGTCCTACTGAGTTTACTTAATTAGTAAGCTGGTTCTGCTAGAAGCTGGTTACTTTTCAATATAAGCTATCTAATTGTAGGATGGAGAGGGTTAGGCTGTTTTATAAGAATAAGCATCTCAGGGGTTAATAAGTCTTATCTTATTCAGGATTGTAAAACTCTGATCCTTCTGGGTGGCCCTTATGTTGGGGCCAGAATGACAACCTCTCTGGACTTTATCTAGTGTTTCTGGTCCTTGCCAATGTGAGAACATTTCAAGGAAGCTTTAACATATATATGTGGTTAGAGCCTCCTTGCACCATAAAATGGTTAGACAAGGACCAACATAAAGCAATCAGTCTACAATGAGATTGAAGCTTTGGAAACAGGCACATGCTTTTCAGTGGTGCTTTTATAATGTGTCATTTAGCAAACGGACTGTGAAGAATTAGTCATGCCAAGCTTCTAACCATCTAGTGACTCGGTACAGACTAAACATCCCAAATGAAAATTTTTAGATTTTAAAGCTTCAATCTTTTGTTCAAGCTCAATTAAAATAAAGCACTATATCTAGTAGGACCCCCAAGTTCTAGTCTAGTTCATGGCATTAACTTGGCCTGTTTGCACCTTTCAGAGCTGCAGGGTCAACACATTAAGTGGAAACCATTACGAGTTCCTTCATGCTTCTCAGGGATGGTTTGAGAAAATGTAATATCTGAAATCATTGTGATCTTTGTGGTGAGAAACACAATATATATCCTAAATTAAGTAAAAATATTCTATCATTAAGGGAGTATCCCATAGGTGAAATCACATCCCTCTTTCTGTTGCTAATGTGGTAGATCATCAACTCTCTTGTATGTAAGAAGCTAGACCCTTTCTTTGTCCAGCTTCCTATAGATTCTAGGTGCCTCCAAGCGCTCCTCTCTTAGCTCTTCAGTAGGTACTTAACTCTGAGGTCTGGCCCTGGGCTCTCCTAAGCTGTTAGAGCTGGCCTTTTCATTGGATTCCATGCCTTTGTATCTTCCTGTCATAAGTTTCGTCCTCTTTACAGCTCTATTCTTTTTAAAGTCTTTTTTCCTGCCCTCATCTTGATGTCTTCCCTTCATCTTTATCAGTGGGTTTGGAACACCCTTGACTTCCACGTAAGCTGCTGTGAAGATTTTGAAATTATGAAGCATATTACAGAGTGGAGGGATTAAGAATAGTGTATAATGTGATTTGTTGCTGCTCCAATTGGCCAGGTGACTCAAGTTGAATGGATATTACTCTGGTCAAAAACAGGTTTCTACTTCCATTGGGTAGCTAGGTTTGAGATGAATCCCTCTCTGCTTTTTGACATTTAATTATTGAGCATCTAGTGTATACCTAATATGGTGAAAAATATATTTATTGGTCTGTCATTCAGGGCTGGCACAGACTGGCCAGTGCTGATCTTTTCAACCTTAGCTCCCCAGAACCTCATTTTAGGGACTCTGCTCTAACTCCAGTGGTCTATTTGCTCATTCACTTGCTAAAGCAATTCTCCTCCTTTTCTCCCTCTCCCCCACATCACAAATCCTGGAAGACTGTCCTACTCTCCTCTACTTCTCTGCCTAGGAGATAACTTCCTGTAATTTTGTTCTAATACATCCTTGTCTCTGTGCTTGTAAACTAACTTGTTGCCGTCGAGTTGATTCCAACTCATAGTGACCTTATAGGA